ACACCCCGCCTGCCCCTGCAGCCTCTGAGACCCCTGCTCCCCACTTGCCTGCAGCCTCTGCACCCCCCCACCCCTGCAGCCTCTGAGACCCCTGTGCCCCCCCGCCCCTGCAGCCTCTATGCCCCTGCCTGCCCTGCTCCTCCTCGCCCTGCAGCCTCTGCACCCCCCCCCGCCTGCCCTGCTCCCCCGCTCACCCAGCAGCCTCTGCCTGGCGGGGGCTTCAGACGCTCGGCAGTGTGGGTCCCTGCAGCCCTGGCACACGCCGCCTCCTTCCTGCCGCTGCCGAGCACGTTCCCCGGCCGGGTTCCGAGCCGCGTGGGGCAACGGGGCCACAGGAAGGGTCCCCCAGTGGCCAGGGGGTCCCCGCCTGCGAGGGAAGCCTGAGCCCCCCCCGCCCGAGCTCGCTACAATGTAGCCGGGGCGGCTGGGCTGTGTTGCGGACCCAGCGGATCGTGCTGGGGCCGGGCGGACCCTGCCTTATGCCTCCCTATTTCCCCGGACATGTCCGGCTTTTTGGAATTTCCCCCCGGACAGGGATTTGAGCACCAAAAAGCTGGACATGTCCGGGGAAATCTGGACGTATGGTAACCCTATCCAACATACTACCTTCTTGCAGACCACTAGGAACACAGACCTCTCTCCTTGGGCTCGCTGTAGCAACTGACTCATTCTGGCCCTGCAGGTCCTATTATGTGAGCTTTCTGGGCCTTGATTGGCTGTTCCATGCAGCCTCCCTCCAATTAGCTGCTCCCTGCACAGCCTCCCTTGCCTGCTTTTAACCCCTTCCTTTCTGGTGTGGGGTGAACACCCTATTACAGAGCAGCACCACTTACATCAATGGGGATCATCTGTGGAGTAAGGTCTGATTCAATGTGAATAATAGAATGTTGGTCCGGCACATAGGGAAAAATCTGTAACTGGGGATAACTCACATTTATAGGAAACCCAAACGATTTTGAAAAAAACTGTGGTTGACGTTTCACAAAATATCTCCTTTTCCCCAATAATTTATTTGTTTACCTGGTAATATTTCATAAACATTCAATTTTGTTCAAGAAAATGACCAGCATGACTGTTCAAACATGTCACATATCAAACAATGGGTCTATAAAAACAGCATATAGAAAATTCAATAACATTGAAACACCATATTCAGAACATGTGGTGCCTATTCCAGGAGAGCGAAATATCTTAAATGTTCGTAGCCCATCTTGTACGGTGTGGATGTAAAATGCTGCAATCAACGGAAGGAAACCAAGCATATTCCTGCTACCAAAAACTAGGTAAGCGTTAAAAACATTATAATTCTGACTGTCATAACATATAGAGTACAACTGACCGGCCAGCAACATTCAGCAAAGATATTTATAGTCTCACAAAACATAATGGTGCTGTGATCGTTAGCTGAGATCTCACATATCAGTGGGCAGGCTTTTTCATGTGGAAAATTGTAGAAATGCTGGTCGGATTTCTGAGCTCTGTCTTGCTTCACAGAACTGTCTTACAAAGGCCAAGTGTTACCGGATAAATATGGATCAAGAGGCACACATTTTGCTGTTCAGCCTGAAACACAGAGTACTATGAATTCACATTTTTGTGTTGTTTTTAGTATAAATACTTGGCCATTCTGGACTATGGGTGAAAGAGATTGCAAGGTATTGTAGTATTTAAAGCAGAAGATATTTTTCAAGATGGATTTGTGTTTGCTATTACAGAGAGATAATAATCCACATCAACCTAGCTCTTTTCTGTGTCATACCTTAAAAGATACATTATTTCATACTTCAGTAGAGTCCAATACATAGCTCTTCCTTCTATCTTTTCATTTCCTCCATAGCTCATACATTCTCTTTTTTTCCCCTTCTTTGCCAGCATGAATAATATGCAGTGACTCTCTGTATAAGGCATGACCGTTTACTTGAACCTTTAATACAAATGTTGAATCTCCTCTTGGGAGCTACAGTGATTCAATTCCATTTATCAAACTGGGTAGAAGAATTTTATTTTAAATGCACTATAAACTTTCTCCCAGAATCTAGGATTTTTTCATAATACTGTCCTGAATACTACAATATCTGCGCGTGAATGCTGTTTAAAGGGAGTTGATGACGTTTTTGAATTAGTTGCAGGTTATAGATATTGACGATTGTGTTCACTTATGTGTCATGCTAGGAAACCAATGGATTATTTGTACAGATATTTCCACCCTTCTCCCTTGAGTTCGTTGAGTGTCTCATTTTAATTTGGCAAGAAAGCGAGCCTTGTAAACAACTGGTTGTGGGTTTATGGGAGTTGTTCTAGGACTATTGGACTTGGTGGGAAAACAAATGAAAAGCCAAAATGCCAGTGAGATTAAAAGGGCGCTGCATGAAATTATGATTTGAAATAGACTGTGACTAATGTGGTAAACAAAGATAAACAGCAGCTCCTTAAACAAGGCTGGATCATTACAAGATGTTTTCTTGCTAGCTGTTATGCCCTCCCATCTCTCTGCTGCTTGGCAAGCACTTATAGTTTATCGTTGAATTCTTACAGATGTATTGTGCTTAGCATAGCATCTTTGATGGCTTGAATTTTTGGAGAAATAAGTGCCATCGGCTGTAACCTGTCATGCCTGGGGTTAATTTTCAGCTTTGTTAATTACTCATCCTCTTCCTCACTCAAACAGTTTTAGGAGCAAAGGATTAATTTGTGATTAGGGCACACAACTGGCTTCCAGGTAATATGGATTCTGCACCCATGGCTGCTAAAGGCTTCCTTCGGCAAGTCATTTAACGTCTCTGTGCCTCAGTTTCTCTACTTATAAAACGGGAACATCATTTTCTTACCACATGGGCATTATGAGAATTCACTCATTTAACAAGGTGCTCAGCTGCTTTGGTGGGTTGAGCATCATAGATATGTCTATAATTAAAATAAATTCTGCTGTAAATCGATGGGAGTTATGCTACTGATGTCAATGGGTGCAGGATATGACCCACAGAACATCCAATTCAATAAACTCTTCCCTTCCACAAAATAGATAAGGTCAACGCAGGGATGTTTTACTATCTTAGTGAGACTGGAGGTGCCAAAAGAAACCCATTTACCCAATGGATCATTTTTACACAATGGATAATTAATCAATGGGACTCACCCCCCACTAGATACCATTGGGGCCAAGGCTTAGCATGAATCAGAAAAAGTGTCAGACATTTACAAGGATAATGGAAAAAATCCACAGTTACAGACAATAGGATTCTAAAAGTGCTTGCTAGAGGGAATATAAACCCGAAAAATCAATAGATGATAAAGTCTGACCGAACTCCAGAAGGTGGAATGCTGAACAAACTCTGCTTCCTTCTGTGGCTTTTTGCTTAGGTTTGGCCAATGGTGTCAATATACATTTTGAAGCCAGCAAATAGCTGAGAGCCTCCTGTGTGGTGCTGACAATACTGAGTTCTCCTCAGAGACTTTTGGAGCTGAAGATGCTCAGGGCTCCATGGGAGATGCTCAGGTCCACTCAGGACCGGGGCCTTGGTTGTCTGACTTTGGGTATGTCTATACTACCCGCTGGATCGGTGGGCAGCGATCGATCCAGCGGGGGTCGATTTATCGTGTCTAGTCTAGACACGATAAATCGACCCCCGAGAGCTCTCCCGTCGACTCCTCTACTCCAGCGCCGCGAGAGGCGCAGGCGGAGTCAACGGGGGAGCGGCAGCAGTCGACTCACTGCGGTGAAGAGACCCCGGTAAGTCAATCTAAGTACGTCAACTTCAGCTATGTTATTCACGTAGCTGAAGTTGCATAACTTAGATCGATCCCTCCCCCCCCACAGTGTAGACCAGGCCTCAGTAAAACGATGGAATGGGCAGTACTCCTCTCTCAGCTTTCTCTGGAGTTCTTTCAGAACAGTTAAATCAGAGCAGCAGCATGATCTGGTACGCAGAGCACAGGACTGGGAGTCAGGCAACCTGGGCTCTGTTTCCAGCTCAGTGATTGACCTTGGGCAAGCCCTATGTGCCTCTACTTCCCCTCTCACCATTGGTCTATTTAGATTGTAAGCTCTTTGGGCTAGCAGCTGTCTCTCACTATGCGTTCGAAGAATACCTAGCACAATAGAGCCCTGATCTCAGTTGAGTGCTCTGGTAATACAAACAATAGTAACTGGCAGGGCATTGAGGGAAGCTGCACTGCGAATGCCTATTTGATGGATAATAGAGACCTTCACTCCTCCAGGCTGTCAATCATTCCTCAATGCCAAATTCACTTTAAACAAGAAACATATGGGCTGCCAGTCACTTTATTTTCCCCAGAGTTCCCGGAATAGATTTGGAAACAGTCAACCCAAACGTCCGTCAACTTGACGAGCGTCTATGTTCAGCAAAGTTTTCGGCAGTTTTCATACAGAAATTCCTGTTGGGTGAGCGAAACCAACTGTTTGTATTTCTACTTGCTGGCAAATGTGACAGCAGTGATAGTGTTAGCGGAGAAGTGGCTAGTGTCACAGTTTGAATATTTCCTCTGAAAGAAGAGCAATTTTATCCCCTCTGAATAGAAGCTAAAAGAGGTATGTGTGTGGAGCATCGTGTTCTGTCATCACAGATGGCCTTTGCAGAGGGTGACAGAATGGCAAATACACCATGTTAGCATATGGTGAGTATGACTGAAAGGGAGGTTCCTCAAATTGATTCTTCTAACAGTGTTCCATGAATCATAGATTAGGGTTGGAAGAGACCTCAGGAGGTCATCTAGTCCAACCCCCTGCTCAAAGCAGGATCAACACCAACTAAATCATCCCAGCCAGGGCTTTGTCAAGCCAGGCCCTAAAAACCTCTAAGGATCAAGATTCTACCACCTCCCTAGGTAACTTATTCCAGTACTTCACCGCCCTCCTAGTGAAATAATGTTTCCTAATATCCAACCTAGACCTCCCCTACTGCAACTTGAGACCATTGCTCCTTGGTCTGTCATCTGGTACCACTGAGAACAGCCGAGCTCCATCCTCTTTGGAACCCCCCTTCAGGTAGTTGAAGGCTGCGATCAAATCTCCCCTCACTCTTCTCTTCTGCAGACGAAACAAGCCCAGTTCCCTCAGCCTCTCCCTCTCCATGGGAGGTGTTTAAATCAGGCCAAGCAGACTAGTAACTATCTGGTTACACTGCTGTGCAGAGAATCTAAGTTCAGATTCTGAGCTCGACAAGCAGACTGGCAGGGAGTAGCAGCTCTGGTGGAGAGATACCATCCCCCCCGCCACATCAGTTTCTAATGACCTCCTGCCATTCCGGATTTGGGGTTTTGTCCCAGAAGGTCCTCTTCTAGTTTACTCTTGGGATGTAGTGCATTGAGAGACTGGACTATGAGTGATCATGTCCCAACAGTAAAATAGCCATTGTTTACATGGGAGGCAATTCTCAGTATCTCAACAAGGCTGAAGAGGAACTTTTGGGGTTAAACGCTTAATCATTCTGGCCTTTGACTTTCACATCTAGGAGCATTCTGAGCCAGAGATGACCCTGACTGCCTGTCTGTTTTTATACCACCTGAACATGGTGCCATCTTTTGAATAACATCTCAGGTTTTTAATATAACATTATTTTAGGATTACTCTGAAATTATTGTCCCATTTGCTCCAGCCTATTTATAGCTGTACAATAATCCCCTGTTTTACAGCATATAAAAATATACATTTCTGAAAAAGCAACAGTGTAAACCGTGCAGTCCAGAAGACGTGAGGAGATGAGTGACGAAAACAGTTTGTCCATCTGATGTTATTGGTCAGTAACTTGATGTCACGTAGGCTTTGACTGTGCGTCCAACTTCTGAAGATTTCAAGCTCTAGCCAGTAATGTTCATGTTAAGAAACTCTGATGGGCACTTTTCAAATGTTTTAGAGTTCAGGTTTGGTATCCAAAATATTTGAACCCCATGAGATTGCAAAACTTGGCTGGGAACCTCGCAAGAGCAGGGCTTTCTTGTGAGATTTCCATCTCTTCTGCTTCTCATCTTGGCTTGAAATACCATGAGAATAAATGTTTTCATGGTGTATTTCAACACTTGCTGGTTTCAAATCCTGGACTTTATTTCAAAATCTTTGGAAAGGTTCAGTTCAGTTCTAAAGGGTGGTTTAACGACAAATAGGCTAGTCTCACAAATTTGGGGTCCAGGCCTATATACCATTTGAAAGTCAGAGAGGTTCAGATCCAGGGTTTTGATCTGATCCCATCTCTAATTAAAACTATTTAAGATATTCTCCAGTTTTCTTATAAAACATTCATATGGGAGAACTGAACAAATGGCTGTGTTTAATTAGTCCAATCAACTAAACTCGTTGCCTCAGTCCCTCAGTGCAAAGAAAGCTATGAAGTGTCATTTACTGACCTGCAGAATACAATGAAGCTTTGGTGAATTGGAAAAACCTCAGCACTGCCCTTCTTATAATTTAATTTAGCTCTCATGCTGGACAGCTCAAGTGTACTGTCAACCTCTATTTATAGGTAGCATCTTTATAGGTGGAAAGAGAAATGAATTAATGTCAACAAGATTAGCAATTATACCACTACTAAATAGTATGCTTGAAGCGCTAAATAGCAGCAGTAATTATGTCACGGACTCTAGATCACCCTTTCCCAAAACAAGTCGTATTCCCAGAGAGTATCCCAATTGTGCTATAACATACAGGATAGTGTGTATTTGTACCACTATCCTCTACTGGAGAGAATATGAAGCTTGCTCAATTGGGGTCAACGGGGCCTCACACAGCTGGTCCTCAGAGGATATGAGCCCTAACGCTGCTAGGTTAACAGAATTTCTACCTAAACTCAGCTGGTAATAAGAGGCCTGTCCTTAATCTGCAGCAACATTCTATCACCATTGGCAGGCTGGTAGGCAGCCCCCTGGGAGGGTTAGATGGGTGCCCAAAACGTTGTGACAGTGATCAATCTAAAGGACTACCGCTCAGAGGCCTGAAGGTTGAAAAGCAATGGTATTGGGTGGTGCAAATTAGAGGCAAGAAAGGGAATCTCAGCAGCAGCCTAATGAAGATCCCTTTAAGTTTCACTGGGTGCATGGTTGGCTGTTTGGTCATTTATCTGGAGAACTTTGGCTCCCCATTATGATCAGTGATCCTAGTAATGAGGACAGCCATTAATCGCTTGATCCTGCAGTCCTTTAGTCCCGTTAATTTTACTGGGATTATCAAGTGAGTAATGATTACGTTACAGGAAGTGTTCACGAATTAGCCCTTTTCTTGGTTTACTCTATTCCTTGTTTTGAAAATTTGACTTCCATCCAGAAGTGACCTATTTGTATGCCATCCGTAACATCTCAGGTTTGGAATATGTGATTGTTTTTGGAAATCTTTTGGAAGGTTCCCCTGTTCCTACAGGGATTTGGACCACATGCCACTGCAAATTGCTTCTCCCCTGCTTACGTCACAAACCTGTACACAACTCATGTTCCCGACATATCATATAGAGGAAACAAGCACATTGGTAGGCCTATGTTTTGCCTCTTGCCTAGCTGCTTAAGAAAATCTGCAAACTGTTTTAAGATGAGGAGTGAAGCAGAATCTACACTCCTCGGGATCACCCCTAGTAGGTCAACTGCCACCTTGCAAATTTGCTGTGAACACACTGTATTCTTTCAGCACCTGTAAACTCACACAAAACACTTATTTGAGGCAATGGCAGTTGAGTGGAAAATGACAGGCACCCGTAGAGGGCCCAAAGTGCTCTTGATTGTTATAGAGGAAAGAAAATGCCAGCTTCTCAAGATGGTTCATGCCTCTCCACTTTTGTGAAATCTTTGAAACACACTGGCATTATCTGAACTGATACCAGCAATTTGATCTGCAAACAAGCACATTCCCCTTCCCTCCCTCCCCCTCCTCCCCCCGCCTTCCTTTTACAGGTTTCACTTTGATCCCTTTGAGATCGGTAGCAAGGATCTTGCCTCAATGGGATTGGGCACTTTGTACTGTGTTAACAACTGTGAGTTCAGTAATCTTAAACAACGATTTTAATGCATTCAGAGTCGAGCAGAGTAAAAATTTAAGTTGGACAATTTTGCCTCTGTGAATAGTCTGCAAATTTTCTTGAATTCATCATTCAGAATGACTTCATTTGGGCAAATAATTCATGGCTTCTAGATTGTTTGTGAGCAAGTTTGTTGTGAGGACAGTTGGAATCTGATCTCCGGTGGTCGGACACCAAAGGCCAGATTTAGGTGCCTAAATATGCAGATAGGCCCCTATTAGATTTTACAGAAGTGCCTGAGCTGATTAGGTACCTAAAGTCAATGGGAGTTAAGCATCTAACTCACTTAGGCATTTTTGTAACTCCAACTAGGTGCCAATCTGCATCTTTCGGTGCCTAAATACCTTTGTGAACTTGCCCCCAAGGTGCGATGATGGTTTGATTGGGAGTTTATTGAACAAAAAATGGTGTTCCTAGGTAGCTGTTTTTACTGCTTGTTTACTTTGGTCTCGATTCTCATTTCCACTAGGACTGCTTTATACCACTCTGGCTGTGTAAAGGAGCCTCAGTGTGGGTGCAAATTACATTTACACTCACCTCAAGGCTGCTTTACGCTGCCAGACCTATGTGAAGCGACCCTGTAAATTCTAGTTTTGCAAAGTCTCCAAGACAATTTGTAAGGACCCAATGGTGACACGTGGGTTCTCAGAAGCTAACAAGTGTCTTAGGGATGCATAAATGAAAGCCATGGGGGGAGATCAAACACTGCCAAATGTAGGAGTTATTATTGAATGAGAGATGAATGAATAATGATTCCTCATCAATATTATTCGGTGCCTTTTCAAAGCCCTGCCCTGCAAAATTCCAAATGTCCTCTCAATGTGCTGGACACCTATAATTCCCATTCAAATCAATAGGCGTTCAGTGCCTCACAGTAACTGGCTCTTCCATACTGGGAAAGACGTCAATGCTTCATGCCAAGGAAGCTGCGTTATTACTTGGCAGGCTCAGTGGGTAATTATGTTATGAGCTGCTTATTTCTGATATTGTGCAAATAATTCCTCCCACCGTTTCTTTCAACTCCTGAATTGCTTATTTGTTTGAATAGCTACAGGAAAATATAACAGGCTCCCGAATGCTTTTTTCACCCACATCTACAAGGGAGGGCCCATTCTCATTGGGGTACATCCTTAACTCATTTGTGCATGTAACTCCCATTGATTTGAATAGGAATGAACAGCCTAGTGCTCAGAGCCGTGTGAGAGGCTCAGTACATTGCAGAGAAGGCATTAAGAAGAGAATGCAGTACAAATACACAGCAGGGCAGCCTGACATCTGCGACTCTTGTGCTACATCATAGGAAGATTTTGTGGCTCTGGCAAGAAGCTGGAGCAGGAAGTGTTGAACTTTTAAATGGCCCCCCCTGGACCTTATAGAGACTGGAAAATATGACTGAGTACAAAGGTCTCCCGGAAACCACATGATACACACATCTTGCCTGGTTTCGAGTTTTGGTTTAAAAGCATTAAGGTTCAGAAACATTTTGAATGAGTCTGGGATGACCAGTGTGTTTAAAAAAGAAAAGAACATTGTGGCAAGTTTCTGAAACGAGGTGAAATTCACCCCCTTTCATCAAGTGTTTCCTTGAGATGGAATTTACTAGACTCCAAAACACAAAGCAGAAGGGAATATCCTCACCAAGCCCTGAAAGCTGAACCCACTGAACTTCAGACAGCTTTGGGGTCAGGGGACTTCTGCAAGTCACAGAGGGCCAGATCCCCAGCTGGTGTAGATCAACGTAGTTCCATTGGCACTGAAGTCAACAGAACTACACTGATCTGCACCAACTATGGATCTGACCCAATGTGTTGTCAAATCCCTATTTGCGTCAGCAGGAATCTACTGTGCTCACTGTCTCTAAGGACTGGACCATAATTGAGCAGCAGAGGTGATCGGAAGTTGAAAAGTCTTCATGTCAGAACTCCCTTAACTGAGACCATTCAGAGATACATAACATTCCAATGAATGCTTTCTTTCCCCCTTTCCCTTAACTTCTGTTGCTGTTGGGTCAACGGGTCCAACCACTAAAAAAAAAGTTTATATCATGAAGTGGCTCTAAAGTTAGAGCTCTCCGAATGTACCCATGCTGAAACCATCATGGTATATTTATAATTCTCTCTTGCAAGATGCATTAGATGTTCTTGTCCCCCTCCCTCCACCCGATTGCACTTCAAAATCAGAATCGCTGGAGCTTTAAAAAGAAGAGACAGTGAAAATCAAAGCCTTTAAATGGTAGGGAAATGATGTTACAGTCATTTCAAGGGGCCGGTGCTTAAAGGTGCTTCGGGGCTTCAATGGCCATTAAAATAAATGGAAAGATTCCCATTGACTTCAATGGGCTTTGGATCAAGTCCACAACTCTCAATGACTTCAGTTCTAAAAAGCTTTGACCCACACTGTGTTATGACATGCTACTCCTTTGATTCAGGCCACTCCCCCTACTTCAGCATCCATCCCTACTTCCCATTAAGAAGAACAACTTCCTGCTCGCAGAACTATGCCAGCAGAGCAGGGTTGCCAGAGCTGAACAGTTGCATGTAAAGATTCCCCTCCTCCTCCCCAGTCCCATTAGAGATCTCGATCCCTTAGACATCCTCCCCGTTTTCACCGAGGGAGATAGTGTGTATTTTAATGGTTGGCACTTTAAGGTTCTCCCGAGCGACGCTCCTTGATGTGCCAGTACAGCAGCATGTCCTGAGGAAACCTTTGCTCTTCACTTTGGCTCTGGCGCAGCTGGACTTGTCTTTAGAGATTGCACTTTTTGTAGACATGCTTTGCATGGTGGAGAAAATCTTCCACTCGCAGACCCCATTGGACTTGGAAATCCTATAGAAGGTTTCCCCCGATCCTACAGGGATACGGACAACATCCTTGGCACCGTCCATACTGGGGCTAGCTGGCTGGTTCAGATTGAAGCTAAGGGAATGCTTGTTGGCTGCTTGCTTTCTGGTGAAACACTGGGCTCGTAGGACATTTTGGAATGCTTTTTTAAACTCTTGACTCGAGCACGGGTAGATGATCGGGTTGATGCAGCTGTTCAAATACCCAAGCCAAAACGTTATTTTAAAAACCGTGTCTGAGGGCTTGAGTGCAGGAAAGAAAACGCCTGGAATGGAAAATACAGGGAGTGTTAAGACAAAACTGGCAAGAAATTGCAGATAGTCAAAGTGTAAGAGAGATAACAATGAAAACAACAAATTTCATGATTTTTGGATGCTCCAACAACAGACTCATTCCTCCTGGGGAAGAGAACATTTCAGAATTTATGGTGCTCTACAATTACATAGACGATATGTAATAACTGTTCCAGGGGAACCTATCTGTTCAGTTACAAATGCAGCAGTAATTTCATATTTTAGGTTCTACAGAGTCCATAGTTTGGTGAAATGAGGTGACAAAGGGAAATTACTTCCTCCCAGGAGCTAAAGCACCAGACTGCTCAGATAAGCAAGGAGACAACTTAATGGGATTTGAAATGGCCAGGGAATCACCACCTCTGGGATCCCAGCTAATGGAAAGCCCAATGATCCCTTTCAGACAGGAATTTTTAAAGGATCCTAATGGACCTGGATGCCTCCCTCACTTAGGATCCTTCAAAAATCCCAGCCTACAGATTTTTATGTGTCATGCGCCTAATCCAAAATTCATAAAAGCCAATGGAAAGGCTCTCATTGATTGCAATGAGCATGGATCAGGCCCGTGAGCAATTGCTGTATAAACCGTAGGAGTTTCAAAATGTCTCTTCTATCCTGCAGAGAGAGTGCTTAGCAGTGGTTAACTGAAGTTGCTACAATTGTAAGGATGTTTCGCATGGAGCTAATTAAAAAGGGAAGGGAAAGGTGGCTCAAAGCCAAAACGGGCTGATGCTTTGTTCAACTGTAGTCAGCTACAGGGAACACTGATTGTCAGTGAAAAGGCCGCACAGGTATCCTTTTTTAAGGGATCACATGACCAGTCTCCCTCTGCTTAATAACATTGGGCTCCAGCTTGCCTGCAACATGAGCAAATGTACGGATATGTGTGCAAGACTTAAAAAGCTCCCTCCTTGGTTAACGCTCTGATAAAAAAAAATGCAATTGTTCAATTAATGTATTGATTTTTAAGAAAACCTTCTCCTGTCAAAGAAAGCAGCCAGCCATTCAGGGCATGCTCTGTCCCCACAGATTTACAAAAGCCACAAAGCATGCCAGCAATTTGTTTTTGACTAATAGTACCGGACATCTATTGTAATGAACTGGCTTGTGTGGATACCTACCCCTGCCATTTTCCAGGCTGGAACGTGTATCATAAAGCCTGTACTACAAACACCTACTAAATATTTTGTTAGCTTAAGTGCCGGGGTTGTGTGGTCTATCCCAGCTGTTGCGATGAGGCTCTGAATGGTGATGGAGGAGGACAGTTGTGTAGTCTCTAAATGACCAGAGAGTTATGCTATTTTCACTGCATTTCATGACATTCCTCTAATCTTTGATACTTGAGTCTTTGGCAAAGGCAGTCTTTTCACCTTCTTGTAAAAGGATACAATGAGCAACTATCCCAAACACACTTAAAGTAAGAATTTTCTGCTAACTTTTCCATTTTGTAAAGATTTTATCCCATGCACTGAAAGATTAAAGATTAATTAAAGATTTCTACTAGAGCTGTTCAAAATTTTTAAAATGGCCAAAAATTCAGATTTTGATTGATGCCACATCTACTCCTTCAAAAAAGTCACCACTTTAGGGTTTTTAAGTTATTTGGTCAGTGGTAGCGCTGGATTAAATTTTGATTTCATTTTGTGTTGAAATTAAAGAAACAGTAAAGGGTTTATGAAATTAGTGATTT